ATCTTTATATAAGCCTTATGAAACTATATAATATCTTGGTATCTATTTTGATAAAAATAGCTCAACTAAACCAACATATGAGATGTTACAAAACAAAATTGAAAACTTTCTTGCTCTAATTAAATTCAAAAAACTTATATTTAAACAAATCTTTACTCTCTTCAATATAATACTACAGCCATCTTTAGAATATTTATTACAAATCTTATCAATTTCAAAAACACAACAACAAAAACTCTCATATTTACTCTTTATTATAGCAAAAAAATACTTTATATTGCAAAAAATACATTTAATATTCTTCTTACTAATTCATTATCATTTAAACTTTTAACCCTTTAACATTTAACTTAAAAAGTAACAGGGATGGGGTCCTGTAGCCTAGTGGTCTAGGCACCCTTCCCTTTACAAATAAGGTCAACAGTTCAATTCTAGCTGAAGACAAAACTCTGTAATCTATAGAAGCATATAAATGTATATGAAGCCCTGTAGCTAAGTCTATGTGAATAGAAGATCAGTGTATAAGGAAGTTCCTGAAAATAAGTTTCCCAATATGAAGAGTTGATGCTCGATGCAAAAGAAGCAGTAGACATACCAGAAATTGAGAGAAGGTGCACTAGCAAGTAATACAGTAAATATAAGAGAAAACTACAAAAAAGAAATAGACTTTCTGAAATTCGAACACCTCTGGCATTAAAAACTGGTTTAGTAGATACAAGTTATACTAAGTCAGATTTAAGTAGTAATCTTGGTACCAACTTAATAACCTTGTGTCAAGAGTAAATCAAAGACTATAGATATTCAGTAACATCCAATAGGGTGGTACTTTGATATAAATAGTAACCAGGTAGCTCTAATCTGATATGTCAACACAATAGTAATGTAAAGGTTGTATATATATGCAATAGTGTTGAAAATCAGAGACTTTAAATAGGAAATCCACACGTAGGTTTTAGGTATGGCAATTAGTAGGTAACCTGCAAGCGAAGTCTTTAAATAGACAATGACTAAAGTTATATATATAACTAATTATAGCCTCGTTGATAGACTTTGTATATAATAATGTAATCATATATGTTACTTAATAAAAAACATACAGGCAAGATTGCTGCTTCAAAGTAAAAAAAAAAAATTCAAAAAGTAACAATATCTACAATAGAACATATTTTTTATACTACATCTCTTCTCAAACATATTGGCATAGCCAAAATTAAAAATTGGCTAACAAAATATAGTAATCCTTCTTTCTTCCAAATACTGCTTTTAAATTTTTATTAAAAACAAAAAATTTTACATTCATCTTTTAACTTTCATTTTTAAATAACTTCAATATTTTTCTTTTATTTAATAACTCACTAAACTTACTATTAGTTAATATTTCTACATCTACAAAAACAATATATAATATTCTTTTATCTAATAATTTTTATTTACTAATTAACAATCTTCAAAACAATAAAATACTCTTTATTAAACAACTTACAACAGCTGATAATTTATATATCTTTTTATAAAACAATATATATATATATATTAAGAAATCTACTTATGGATCTATTCCATCTTGGTTTACTAAACTTTCTAATCTTATTTAAAATAATACAATTTCTCAAACTTGAACACATCTTAAATTACCAAATATTAATTCCTTTATTAATTCCTTTGATACAATCACTTCTTATCACTTATTACCATTAAATAAATGGTCTATCATTCTTAATAACTCACAAATTCTCTTTATAAAAAATTCACTTAACTTTTTCTTCTTTTATAACATCTCTTCTGGCTTAATATTCCTAATTTCTACTAACTTATCTATACCAATATTTCAAACTTCTATTAATATTTTTCATATTAAATTATTAAAAAAAATAACAAATATTTATTCTATATTAATAATTATAAAATTAATGCACTTATTAATATTTAACAACATGTAATTTCAACTTCAATATTACCTCAATTACCAACTATTTACATTCCTAACACAGAAATTCAAATAATCCAAAAAAACATATCTTTCTCTCATTACTAAAACCAACTTATTAATCTATTTCTATTAACTAAAAATCTTTCAAATAACACTCATTTCTATACAGATGCTTCAATTATTAATGTACAAATACCATATTCAAAAATTGGTATTGGATAGATCTCTGAATATAATATCTAAATCAAATTTAACTACATAATATCTTCATACTCTAATTCTACTCAAGCAGAACTTAAAACAATTGTTTATCTTTTATATATTCTTCTAATAAACTCACAAAACGATATACATATTAACAATCTATTAGCTCTAAAAAACATCTAATTATTTTCTTCCTTATACAAATGCTTATATATTAAAAACTGAGATATTTTATTTATAATCTATTATTTTATTCAAACAAAATCTCTCAAAATCTCTTTTCACAAAGTTAAATTCCACTCTAATAATTCTTTTCATAATCAAGCTGATTTTTTAGTTAAACAAGATATCTCTAAACACTTAATTAAATCCAACTTTATAACATTATTTCCTAATTATTTTAAATGACATATCTATATAATACTCACTAAAACCTAACTATTTCTACAAAACACAATTACTATACAATCACTTCTCTCTTGGTCACAACTTAAATTCTTTCAAAACCCATTCTCTATTAAATGGTCAACAAATGTTAACATTATTAATTCTCTAAATAATGATCAAAAATTCTATACTTTTTGTCTTAAAATTATTAATAACAACCTATCTACTATGCAAAACTTTAATTTACAATATTCACTCTTATATATTACTCCAAATTGTGTCTATTGTCAAACTTCTAAAGATATATCACATCTCTTTATATGTCCTAAACAAAAATATAATCTTCTATAAATTCTTTGAACTTTAATTTCAAATTCTACTCAACAACTAAATATCTCTTCTGAACTTTTAGATAAAATCTATATTATTTTATTATAACAAACAAACACTCTACTATACTCTCATTTTCTTAATCTTATCAAAAATCTTTTCTTTATATTTTATTACAATAATATTAAAATATTATTTTATAAAACAACATTATCCTTTCTTATAACCCTATCAAATGTTACTCTGAATTAGTTTTACTAATATATATAGCTATCATATAATATTCTTCAACAACAATAGGAAAAAACTTGCAATATAACTAAAAAATCTAAATGTTTAAAAATATATTCTTTAACTTTACCTTCTTAATTTAATTTCAATACTACTAATACACCTACTATAAATCCAACTATATCTATTAAAAACTGATTAATTCTAGACTATACACTTACTAACTGTATTTACTAAATGCCAAGACTATCAACTTAGGTTTCCTTCAATTTTTCTATGCTTAAAATTAATTTGAAATAATTAATAATAGTGTTAAATAGAAATGGAGATGTAATGTCACATTGGATGTCTTAAATAAGTAGCACAAATATAGTTTAGAAATCTTTAATATAATTACTTCTATTACCTAATAAAGTTTCTACTTTGGCATAACAGGAAAAAAAAAAGCAATATAAAAATATACAACTTGCCAAAATTGTAATAACAGAAAATAAATTTATAAACTTTAAGAAATACTAGCAAAAGTTAAAAATTATTTTCAAAACCAATTTAGAAAAAAAATAAAAATAAATAAAAACTAAGAATACTAAAATTTAATACAAATTAATGGATTAATAAAACTAATTTGTAATTGAAGAGAACAAACCTTTAAGAATATATTTTTAGAAATTCTTTTGTAAGATAAATATTGTATTTATTAGAAACATAAACAGTTTATGAATATTTACATTAGAAATAGGAAATTAATGTACTAATATTAATGTACTTATAAAAATACCATAAAAAGTAAACATTTTTACCAAATAAAAAAATACAAAAAAATTGTAAATTTGATCAAATAGTTACTAAGTTATTTAATTATAAAGTTAAAAAATTTTATTTAAAAAAATTATTTCGTTTCTACTGACTCCTCTTTATATGTATACGTATACAGTACTTATATAATGTAACATAACCTTAATAAATAAAAGCAAACTACTTAAAAAATAAATAAATATTTCTTAATAATAATTTATTGATAAAATTTAATTCTATAACATTATAGAATTATTTTTAAAAAAACCTTTTTTATTAAACTTGATCAGGCAATTATTTATTAAAAACTTTCTATAAAGATTTTTTTTAAAAAAAGAATCGTTGTACTGATGTATTATTTACATATAAAACCAATCAAACAGAGAAATTGCGATAATAGAATTGGTGCAGAAACTAACGCTAATGCTTGGTTCGACATAACAATAAAGTGCTGTGCCATGATCCTATGATTTTTCCGGATAACACCTGTTATTATTAGTGTTAGTTGTTTCGCTCCAAATACTGTACCTAGTGTTTTTTTTAGTACGGAAAATTATTCCGGTTCTCAAAACGATCGTCCAACTTTGGGTTTGCAAGTTCAGAGTCTGGTTACTAACATTAAATAAGCCGAAGCTGATCATATAATCACTTTATGTGGCTAATCAACAACGGGGAGTTTTGCCGAAAAATAGATCCGAATGAGATGACATTACTGAAATTGAGATAAAAGATTTTTTAAAGTTAATAATGATATTAGATAAAGCTTTAAAAGCATCATATTACGTAAATTACATAGCGATAGTTCCAATTTAATTTAATAAGATAACAAGTTTTTTAACCTGTTTTTGAACGATGTAGTATTAAAGATATTAAATATTGACAATAAATTTTGGGTATGAAGACAATTATAACATTGTCAAAAATTAGTAATAATATAAAACATATAAAAAAAATAAATCCATATATGTAATTTATTTTATGCAATTTATGCATAATATTGTTGCAGATTACGTGAAATTCCATCCTAACTGGTTACTTCTTAAGCAAGATTCTATCGTTAATGGTTTGATCAGCTTGCGACAACAGGGGCGATCCTTTTTCTACTATCATTACGAACAAAAAAATGTTTATTAACGTTAACTTTAAATTACAAACGTATTCATCCTCCAGTAATAAGCCAAACATGGAAATTTGAAAATGTATTTTGGGGTATATGATATGAAGTGGTCCCCTTGGCATAACAAATGAAAACATCCGTAATTGCAGTGAAATAGTGTAACCTGTTAAGTCAAAACCAATGCAGGGTGATGTTCGTAATCAAAAAAATATATATATATTAAAACGCTAATATACCATATAGGATAAAAAAAAAGACTTTTTTAAAAAAAATCATTTCATTTTTTATTTTTATTATAGAGAAAAAAAAAACAACTAGAGAATAATCAACAGATATGATTCTTCCAATATTATTATTGTCGTTAATATTAAATAGCATATATTTTAGAGAAATAGTTGTATTCGCAGCTGATAATTGTAATACTAATACACAAAATGACCCATGCGTTCAGACAAATGCTTTATTGAAGCCTTGTAATGCAACTATTTCTAAACCTCCGCCAACCTCATCTTCTATAGAACTGCGTATTAATAGTATGTATTAATCAAATTCATGTTCGTCTAATATTATTCATTTGTTTGTGAAGTTCGTGTATTAAAAAAAAACAAAAAAAAAATTTTTTTTTAATTAGAGACAAGCGTAGCAAGTTGTGCTTGTAATCAACAATTCTACAATACCCTATCATCATGCGCTCAATGTATGTCCACAACCACTTTAGATGTTCATGTGAGAGATTTATCACAATATAAAGACGATTGTTCTTCTTTCGGCACAACATTTTTACAAAATGCGTATGTTTGTTTATTCGTTTTTGAAACTGTTATAATTCATAATTCAAGATTAATCATTAATTAGATTTGTGAAATATTTGTGAAATTTTAGTCCTGAACCAACTCCAGCTAATAGCGGATCAGGTCAAAATATTGTCTTAATAGTAGTATTTGTAACTATTGCAGTTATTGCCGTTGGAATTGTGGCATCACTCGTAATTTGCCAGCTTTGTAGGCGACGAAAACGAAAAAATCAAAAAGAAGCTGCAGCAATGAATGAAGCGTTATCACTACCTGAAAGTCATTTCTCGGGTAATCAGAGTACACAGAATCGATATGCTCCATCTCCATATTCAAATCCTGGTTACGGAGCACCTTCTCCAACCCCTCCACCCCAATATTCAGGTTATCCACATTATTCAAATTATCCAAGCTATCAATAATATCAATGAGTAATAACAATAAGTAAATAGTTTTACTTTATTGCAAGAACTTTTCATATAGATAAAATGGATTAAATATGAAATAATCATTGTATAGATGCCGAATTCCAAAATATTTAATTGTAATATTTGTAATTAACTTTTTAAAAAAGATCATAAATTATCGTCATTAGCAAATATTGTGAAAGATTTATAATGTAAAATGGAAACTTTGATACGTCCGTTAAAATACTTGTAAATATAATACCTGGTGAAAAATAAATAAAAGCCATTCCCGTCATTTGAATATGCGTACTTACTTGATATTAAAAAAAAGTTCGCCTGAGGATCATAAAAAATTATTGCAAGAAACCTTTCTTTTTTTAAAAAAAAGAGGAAACTTCATATTTAGTTAATACACGCAAATGAAAAAAGACGCGTCAAATTCTGAAATGTAGAAAAGTTCACTCATATAATATATATTCAAGAAAAATCACGAAACGAAAATTTTAAAACTAATTCAGACTACGTACGTACGAAAAATGATCATGTGATAGATAAAGTAATTGAGACGATCCCAAATTTCGGCAAAATTCTACATTTCCGATTTACATGTTACTCAGACAGGTAAAGTTTTACGCACTATTACAAAATGTAAAGATGGTTTTTCATGTAACAAAGTATAAACATGTTTGGGAGATGACATGAACAAGGTATCATCATCTGAACATTTCGAACAATGAGATCGGCGTAACCGTATCATGCCCAGATTATGCCGATCATGTGAAAATCAAGAGGGACGATTGTACAAAGTTTTTGGTGTTGTTACCTAAATTACCATCATATCTCAAAGAATCGAAAAAAAGGCATTTGAATCATCGTATCATTTCAAATAAGGTATGATGATAGATAATATCCTTTCGCATTTTTCGCACGGGTTACTAACTTTTTCATAAAGCGTGTTATATTCGATCACCATTAAGTTTTCTTTAGTCTAGCCTTATCGTTGTTCTTTCACCTTGTATTCTGTATCTACAGGGTAATGAACAGGTGAAATGTATTGGGAACCCGAATTATGTTTGCTATGGAAAAATGAAATCACTATGTATAAACTTTACATAACTTGTTTAAGCATACCATTGATAAAAATAACTAGTACGTAGAATCTGTTCATTTCGCCTCATTTCGATTAATATTTTCGATTAATATTTTCGATTAATATTTTTGATTAATATTTTTGATTAATATTTTTGATTAATATTTCGATTAATATTTTCGATTAAAATTAGCATTTACTTTCACAATTTATCGCAATCCATAATTACTATAGTTGATTCAGTCAATCTTGAAAAAATTAAGATTAGATCCTTCTTACTACCATATCAATTTTAATTTTGAATCGAAGGGTTAATTCTATTATAGTAGGGGTGGTATAATTATAATGCTGATCTAATTAGTGAGTTTAGAATATGTATGTATACACTATACGTATATATTACATAAGCTTACAATTTTACTGGATCGCCAAGAATACTAAGATCTGAGATATACATAATAAGCTGTAATACAGGAATAGGAATATAAAGTTCGTAAAATCGATATTAAATAAATTTAAAAAAAGGCTTGGAATCAATCAAATTAAAATTAACAAGAATTTATTTGTAGCTATTTTTATTATCCAAAGTAGATAAATGGTCAAAAAAAAAAAGTGAAATATTGCAGATAATTATTAAAGTTATTAACATCATAGAATAGGGATATGGACAAAAATTACGTTTCGTAGTGTATCGATATAGTTTGATTTGGACACAAGTTTCCAAAATTTTACTGATAAATAAAGTTAACCAACAAGTCAAAACCTTCGATTGGTTCAAGTTTTATTTCCCCTGTATTTTTTTGGTTTAACCATTTTTTACTTCTTTTTGTTTTACTTTGGTTTATTGTCAAATATTGTGGTATCTGATATGCTCATTAATGTGCAAAATACATAAATACATCAGTTGTAAAAATATAAATCGTTAAATATCGATATCGATATAAATTTATTATAGATAAACTAACGCCAATGTAATATTTTAATTCACAGGTCAACTATGAAAGAATTTGTTTTGTTCATTTTTTATGAGAACATATATTCATAAAAACATTCATTATACAATAATTTAATTATCATTTAACTAAATGGTGATAATTAACGTCATTAAAGGCATTTCCAGGACATCCTCTTACACAAATTATCTATTAATATTTACAATATATATGATTCCGATTTTGATTTCTATACAATTATTAATTTGTTCTAAGTTTTTCCAAGTTTGATTTTATTCAGTTTGCCCAGTAAAACCAGTCAATGAGACTGTAAAGAGAAGAAAAATTAGATACAAAATAACAACACTAAAAAATCAAATGATAAGATAAACACGTACATTCTAAAATCTTCATCGTTTGGGATAAGACATTTATTCATACTTGAGATACGACGGTATGCTGCTGCCGTTTGCAATTTCTGGGCAATGTCTATTTTTTTTTTATTTTTTTTTTTTAAAAAAAAAGGTAAGAAATACATGAAATTCAAATATTATTAAAAATGAATAATTAAAAAAAACCTACGATTGGTTTTTGGATTTGACCATTCCCTAGATTCCTCCAAATCATTAAAATGCATTCCAGAATTTTGTTTGTTCATCGTAAAAACTCTTGATTCTCTTGCTTTATTCTCTTTAGAATTTACTATCACAACAGAGCATTGTTTATTTTCGAAAACAGGTGAAATTAAAGAGCTACGCTGTGGGCTACCATGTGAACTTGTATGAGGAATAATGTGAGAATCACGTTTTGCCTCGAATATTCCTGAATCAGGTTTATTCATAATCTCATTAGACATCACCAAGTTATTTTGAACTCCATTTCGTGAATTTTGTAATAGAACTGGTCTGACTAAAAATTTAATAACGTTATCTGTTAGTTAAAACTTTTGACTGAAATAATAATATATATATATATAGTAAATGGGAACGGAATTTAGTGATTTGGAAGATTTTTAGGGTTAGGATGTAGATTTATATAAAATGAATTCTATTCTAAAATTGTAATTTTATTAAGAAATTTCAAATCCGCCTAAATTCCATTCCCACTTACAACATATATATATAAACGTTAATTAAACTAATACTCACACTCGTGGGCATCAGTTTTATAATTCAAAAATGGAATTAATTTGCTAACGTATTTTGCCTTCCTATGAGGCATGATACGTTGTCTCTCCTGATATAGAACCCTTCGTATCTCTCCGTTTCCTTTGATCCCAACCTCGAATCCTGTTTCCCCATTCATTCCATCTTTATAAATCATCTCATTTAAGATTTTTTCAATATCTTCAATATTCGGTCTATTCAAAGGATCTGAATTTAAACATGAAGAAATCAATTCTTTATATTCCGTTGGCATATCCTCAATAATAATAGGTCTCAAATTATTGTTCACAATTTCTTTTTGCAATTCTTTATCATGAGGACGTTCAATAAATGGTCTTTGACCTGACCATATTTGCCATATAATCATACCAAGTGAATAAATATTTGATGATTTTGTATAAATTCCAGACATCAAGGTTTCCGGTGCTAAATATGGTATTACTCCAAATACACCATTACTAAGATTCATTGGTTTTGATTTTGATTCTGTTGGACTCGAATTTGTACGTTTACGGAAGGTTAATTTTATTGGTTCAGATGAACGTCGGATTTTAGCAGGGTCAATGGGTTTACACAGTCCAGTATCTCCAATGTAAGCATCACCATTTTCATCAATTAAAATATTACCAGAATGTAAATTTCTGTGAATTAAACCTGATTTATGAATCTCTTTAAGACCGCTGATAATTTGAGAAATAAGTTTATGGGATTGTTGTAACGTAGTATAAGGAAGGTGAGAAAGATAAGTTTGTAAATCATATTGAGAACAATGTTGAAAAACCATTATGAATTCTTGTGTCTTTGGATCACGTGTCATTCCGTAACACCGAAGGATACCGGGAATTGTGTAAGCGTAGGTTGATGGTGTGTGTCTGCTAAGTATTCTCAACTACATATTACAACAAGATTAACGTTATTTGAAACATGTAACATTGCTGATACGTATACATAGTGATGTAGTACGCATATATATACAAATGATTAGCATATACAGTATTTACCTCTTCAAAAAATGTTGACTTAACATTTTGAGAAGCCATTAAGGATTTTAACGTAACCTTTCTCGGCCCACTCCGTTCCCATTTCGGCATTTGTGTGTCTTGCGCCCCATCCTTATGCTCAAAGACTGGTGGCCCATCCCGTGGTCCATCAATCCACTCAGCCTCCCAAACCGTTGAAAAGCCACCTTTTCCAATATATTTAATATTTTGAAACCTTTCGTAAGGAATATATTCAATAAATGAAAATATTGAACCAGCATTCGCTTGAATGCTCTTAATAACCAGATCAATATCTTGATTTTGACATGTCCATTTGGGATAGAGTGATTGATAAGCATAGAATTCACATTGACGACACCAATTATAATAGAATCGGGGTAATGAGCATTTAGGGCATATACCGAATTCTGGAGTTGAAAATTGTGATGTTAACATTTTTATCGTTAAAATTGATTTGAAGTTGTAAAAAAGAATGACTCTTCAAGAATCAAAAAAAAAAAAGAAAAACTTTTTTTTTTCGGATTTAAATGAAAGGATAATATATTTATATATATATGTATGTATAAAAGGAGTGAAAAACAAATGATACAGATTCAAGTTAAGTGAATCTGTAATCAATAGTATTAATTAGGATAAAGGAACGGAAAGGAACTAAAATGATCTTGCACTGCAAGAATTTTAGTAAGGGGGGAATCAGGGAGCACTCAATCACATTTAAAAACGGAATAAGCAAACCAGAACCACATTTATAAATGCATTCAGATATCCATAGGTAAAATTTAAAGTCTATACGTCTTTGTTTTATAAGTTCAGTACAAAATTTAAATAGTAATTAAGTGTGAATATAAACAATAAACATCATAATCAACATATACAAATGTTTATCGATATCATCCTATGATGCCTTAAAGAGTAACACAATTAATGTTATAATAATCATGCGATTTATAGGAATCAAGGAATGGTAATAACGGTAATAGATAAAGTGCTTATGTGCATGATGCGTTCTCTATATGCATAATACGTCTTCACAACTGAAAAAAAGATTAAATGGATTCTCGTGTGATTAATTACCAATAAAGTTATGTTTTCGAATTACTATTAATTTTCGTGTGACCAAAGTAAATGATCTTTGGGAGCAGTATTTCCCTTAAATAAATAAAAAACGGTATAAATTGAATTAATAAAAAAAAAAAAAAAAATTAAAAATAGCACTTTTTTTGATTTGAATTAAAAATTTCTAATTCCGTTGCTTAAAGAAGCAGGGGATGTATTTTTTAAAATATACATTATCCATTCAAGTGAAGTTTAACTATTGTAACGAAACGCATTTTAATGCTATAAATGCTGTTCGTGATATATTAAGTATAAAATGTAAAACCCTAAATTCAAATATTGAAGTAAAAACAAATCGTAATGTTGATCGATATTTGATTTTTTTAAGTTACTTTATTCGCTGTTTTCCGATAAATTATGAAACGGCAAATTAGGTATTCCGAATTCAAAAAGACAATCTTAATTTAAATCCAAATAATGAAAAAAAATTCTTTGAAGAAAAAAAATTGTTGCTTTTAAGTAATTCATTGTCACTTGTCTTACTACTATACATACCCAATACACTTATGACCAATAAAATCATCTTTAGACGTGTCTTCAGATAATGTCTAACTCGTGGAATTGTGACTGCACTTTAGAATTCTTTAAAATGACTTGGTGAAACGTCGTACGTCGTAATACCATTTTTAGAAATCAATAATTAATATCCGTTGGTAGAAAAAGGACAAGAGATGAAACATTGAATTTTGAAACATGCAATCCTTTATTGTAACCTTTTTGAACGTGATGTCTGTTCCTGGTAATAAAAAAAAGTAAGCAGCTGAATAGGTGCAAAAAAAGCTGCTGCGGACTACGAAGAGATTTTAACGAAACTTTAATACATTAAAAAGATTTGAATAGAAAATATTTGCTGTCTAGATAAATTACATCTAGAACTTTTCTCTCGTTGATCTCTTTGTTAATATAAACAAAGAAACTTGTTTAACAAATTTAGTAAAATTCGAAAAAAAATATTTACAATTTCTAATTTATAAATCATATGCGGACTTTAATCACGACGCATTAATTTCTCTCAGCCAAAATTTTGATTAACTGTTAATAAAGCATCATTCCTATTGACTAATTTGTAATCGTTCCATGACTCTATGAAATATAAAAAATGAATCCGAAACAATATCTAATAGTTTAGCATTTAATTAGGCACCGCCGTTTAAAATTTGTCAGATACCAGTGTAACAGCTTGTGATTTGACTATGCAAATAATACATGCACTTGACTTTACAAGGGTTATTTCGCTAAAATGAAAGAAAATAAAGACATGCTACTATTAAAGTAATTAAAAGTGTTATTGGCTAAAAGCTCGTCTTGCCAATGATAATGCCACAGGATCGTTAATTTCTTTGATTAGGCGTATGTAAATGCGGTTTATGGTTAAACAAAGAGACTACATCTACCAATCAATATTATAAGTTCGGGTTTAACAAAAATATTCAAAAATAGCTGTAACTTAAAAAATTTTGTTTATAAAACCACCTAACATGCCCTAAAAGAAAAAACATTTTAGTATAATATTTGTCCTATTAGACTTTTATATTGCTCTAACAATACTTTAGCATGTTCGAATCAAAAAATTTTAAGCATATCAAAATGGTTTCTATTCGTCCAATAGGAACTGGTGGGGAAAATTAATATTAACTATATCAGTGTTAATTTTTCAGTTAAAATTTACTGTGCGGATGCCACACAATTTACAAAATGTTGATTTTTTCTGTGCGGCATCCACACATCTGTTCAAAAGAAGTTGTGCGAAAATTTTGATTCTATGTGCTGCGCATAGTCCGCACAACCTATATTATGATTTATACTAGCCAAACCAGGCAAATTTGCCTGCAAATCGGTTATATCTGATATAGAGGTTGAAACCGGTTTTAATAATTTGGGTTTATCATAGATATTTTAGAATTTAATTGGATAAATTTCTAAAATATCACCGGCTCATCTTTATACATATAAATTATAAGTCTTACATTGGGTTTATAGACCTATGTACCATGTTTAAATATAATATACATAAAATATCTGCATAACTCTATATAAAATGATGACAGAAATCTGTATTTTCGAGATCAAATCCTTAGAAATCTTGAATTCGGAGATTTATGCCTTCAAAGTTTACATTTTTAAGATTAGAGTCATGAAAATTTGCACTTTAAAGATTTGTATGCCGAAGATTTACCCCTTGAGGATTTGTATACCAAATATTTGCACCATTGAAATCCACATTTTGAAGGGACGCACCCTCGAAATTTACATTTTGAAATTGTGAATTATTAAAAACTCCATCGCTTAAATCCACCTTTGGAGCATGAATATTGTTTAAATTTATTGAAAGTTGTATCTCTGCATGTGAAATAACTGTAATAGCATTAGCGGAAGCAATTTGAAATTTTACATTCGTTTTTGAGCATTCAATAATGTTTACATCAGTTGTCCGAGCTCTGGCTTTTGTTGAATTCATTCAACCAAAAATTGCTGAATTACATTTTCTGGAATAATCAATTTCTTGTTAAAGAGCATTTCTCTGACTTATCTTCAGATGAATCTAACAACGCACAAGCAATCAAGTAATCTCGCAATGATTTATGAAAAAACCAATTTTGATCTCCACGTTGTATTTCATAAAAACATTGCCCAATTGAACGTGACCTTACTTATTGAATCATATTTTACAACTACTTTGTTATTGTCTTCAAATATTCTGGCAGCCAAGTCTTTAGAAAAATCTTTCGTTCAAGTGATTAAACTCCTCTTGTTCTTTAGACTTTTTAATTGAATTTTTAAGACACGATCTTGAGTACGATTTATCTGAAATATCATTATTTTTTTTCGAGAATGCTCGGTAAAACATCCAAAGTAATTTTTAATAGGATAAGGTTAGACACAAGATCTTGTACTTTCGGTATATTCCTTATTTGTTGTATATGTTGTGCCTTAGACTAACGCCTGCCTCAGATCACAGCTGACGCATCTCAGATGTAAATTGCTAAGTGAGGTGCGTAATCTATGGATCGGTCAATAAGCACAAAAAAAATCATATGTATAGAAATTATTGAAGATTGAACGTGCTGAAAAGCTTAGACGAAAACTTAGGAAGGATATGCTGCGAAAATTTAAGCAAAAAAAAAAAAATTATTTGTACAGAGAAAAAATGTACATATTAATTGGAAATAGAATGCTGACAAAGAAATTCAAAAGAATGGAGGTAAAAGAATGCTACTGTTGGTTGTAAAATACTAAATATTCAAGAATTTTATTGGAGGTAAGTCGATTCTTAAGTTTTCAGGATATAGAATACTACTGGAGTTAAGAAAAGCACCAAAGTGATTTAAGTAAAGAATGCTATCAGTAAGAAAACAGTGAAGGTCTTATTCAATTTATTTTACACACCTCACTTGACGATCTGCATCTGAGGTGTGTCAGCTGTGATCTAAGGCAGGAATTAGGAGACACATATATATTTAATAATTTTATTAAAGATGTTTTATATATTGTAATAAAAAATTACTAGAAGCAAACTCTTTCTCATACATCATAAAAAAAATAAAAAACTGAGTAAGATAGAGCCAGATACCAAAACTAAATAATTATAAACTTTTGAATCAACATGCACTTGTGTATAACAGGAAAACAAAGAATTAGAACAAATTAAATAATACAAAATAAAGGAAAAGAAAGCAGCAAATCAGAATAATGACAATAAGGAAAGCTTTTCCAACCTATAAGAAAAAGTTTCTTTGTATAATCTTCTTAAGAAAGTTCTAATAAATACAATCATGCATAACACAACAATAATTAGAAAAACTACATCAAAGGTACAACAAATAGAAGGAAGAATTAAGTAGTCATTAAAAGTAAAAGTTTGACTATTTTTAAGACTGTAAAAAAGAAGAAATTGTATGTTAAATTAGTCAGTTTAGATGTAGTAGATATAATTACTACTAATATTGCTAGATCAGTTAAAATATTTATTGTTAAAGTAAGCTTCAATATTATATATATTAGAATTATTAAGAAAATTAATAAGTTTATATTTAGAAAAAAAGTTGTAAGTATTATTCTGTATATTAAAATTACCAAAAATAATAAAATAGATGTAAAATTAAGAAACTTGTTAAATTCAGTTAATTAATATATTTTAAGTTTAGTTATAAGTAGAAATATTAGTTAATAACAGATATATTAAGATAATATAAAGCTTAATATTAGTTTAAAAAAATATCAAGTGCTATAGTATCTTTAGAATAAATATGAATATTATGAACATAAGGTTTAAGATAATTACAAATTATAATAGCAGTGTCTTTTATAAAAATAAAAGAATTAAACTAGTAGTAAGTAAAAAAATTATTATTATAAAAAAAATATTAGTTTTATTAGAAATTTTAGTTTCTGTAATGTTTATAATAGATATGTTATAATTGAAACAATAATCTTGTCAGGCTTTTCTTTTAGTAGTTTCATTAAAGCCTCTAATATTATATGTAATAATAATTAAATAAAGATAATATAAAGTTAAATTAGATAAAGATGAAAAAGAGTTATAGTCAGAAAAAGTTAAAAAATAATTATTAAGAAATAGATTAAATGAAATAGAAATAAAAGAATTAGTTTAAAAGAAAAATTATAGAATATAGAAAAAAGATATGAAGAAATAATAATATAATCAGATAAAAAAGTGTTATTAAGAATATATCTATAAGTTTTATAATAAGATAAATTAACAGAAAGTATGATACTAGATACAATTTTGTTGTTATTATATTTGTTAATATATTAAATTAAAGTTTAAATAGTTTGACTATAAGAGATAAATGATAAATTCTAATAAAGAAGGAATGTGTTAAAGCATATATAAAGATTATAAAGGATTAAAAATATTAAAGATGTTTTTGCTAGATTATTTTTTATAAAGTTGATTACTGTATACTTGACTTTATAAATATATAAGATACTATAATTTAGACTGTATATTGGGTTTAACTATTATTATTCTGGCCTTCTATATAAATAAACTTGTCTATTTGCTTATCTATTTCATTTTCATTTTTTTTTTTGTTATACCAAAGTAGAAACTTTATTAGGTAATAAAAGTAATTGCATTAAAGATTTTTAAACTATATTTGTGCTACTTATTTAAGACACCCAATGTGACATTACATCTCCATTTCTATATAACACTATTATTAATTATTTCAAATTAATTTTAAACATAGAAAGGTTGGAGAAAACCTAAAGTGATAGTCTTGACATTTAGTAAATACAGTTAGTAAATGTATAGTCTAAAATTAACTAGTTTTTAATAGATATAGTTGAATTTATAGTAAGTGTATTGGTAGTATTGGAATTTAATTGAGAAGATAGAATTAAAGAATATATTTTTGAACATTTGGATTTTTTAGTTATATTGTGAGCTTTTTTTTATTGTTGTTGAAGAATGTTATATGGTAGCCATATATGTTGGTGAAACTAATTTAGAGTAGCATTTGATAGGGCTATAAGGAAGGATGATATTGTTTTATAAAGTAATATTTTAATATTATTATAATAAGATATAGAGAAAAGGCCTTCAATAAAATTAAGAAAGTGAGAGTGTAGTGGAGTATTTGTTTGTTATAACAAGATAATATAAATTTTATCTAAAAATTCAGAAAAGATATTTAATTGTTAAATAGTATTTGAAATTAAAGTTCAAAGAATTTGTAAAAAATTATATTTTTGTTTAGAGCATGTAAAGAAATGTGATATATCTTCAGAAGTTTAACAACAGACATAATTTGAAGTAGTATATAAGAGCAAATATCGTAAATTAAGGTTTTGCATAGTAGATAGGTTGTTATTAATAATTTTAAGATGAAAAGTATAAAATTTTTGATCATTATTTAGAGAATTAATAATGTCAATATTTGTTGACTATTTAATAGAAAATAGGATTTGAAAGGATTTAAGTTGTGACCAAGAGAGAAGTAATTGTATAATAATTATATTTTGTAGAAATAGTTGGGTTTTAGTAGGTATTATGCAGGGGTACCGAAAAATTAATTACAATTAAATTTCTTCTTATATATGCACAATGCAATCAATTAAAAATTACATAATAATAATTGAAACCCAATTAATCGTAAAATAATTGCAATTAATTGCAATTAATTGCTTTT